GAACCTGGTTTATCTGGACCTCATGAACCTGGTTTATGTGGACCCGGTAAATCTGGTCTATCTGGACCTCATGAACCTGGTTTATTTGGACCTCAAGAACCTGGTCTATCTGGACCTCCTGAACCGGGTCTATCTGGACCTCCTGAACCTGGTTTACCTGGACCACTTCACTTCACTCTTATCTCCTAACAGACCTCCTGACATTGTGGAGGTCCTTCTTCTGTTGCAGACAAACCAGGTGTGACCTTAGCTCTGTGAATAAAGCGGGAGGAGCTAAATTCACCGTCTGCTCTTCAGGTGGAACAGCCAATCAGAACAAAGAATTATTGAACTAAACTTCTGTCAGGCTGGTTTCTGATGTTTTTATGTCTAGTTCTTATAGAGACTTTGCTCTTCAGCCTAACTCTGCTGAGCTCAGGTTCAGCTCTGTCACAGGTTACTGAACCAACCCCATCTGACAACTTCAAAATCAGCGACCTAAGCTGATCATATAGGGTGTCACCTAGTTTAGCTAGTAAGAGTCCAACACCAGTTGGGGCCAGACTCTTTTACTTAGCTGAACATCAGCGAGCTGAAACGAAGCCATCAGTCATTGTGAGACAGCACAGTGGCATTCTAGGAACGAATGAGAGCCAGCTGACAGCTGGGCTCTGCTCTGATTGGCTGGCAACAGAGAACCCATAGACACTCGGTTGGTGAGCTGCTGGTTCCAGGAATCCTTTCAGGTCCTCCTGGTCTGATCCAGACTGAGCTGACCTGGCCACTCAGCTGCTGGACTGTGGTGGTCTGCACACACTAAAGCAGAGCAAACATTTTACTACACTGAGACCCAACAGGTAAACTCTGCACACCTGGGAAAGTGTGACCAACCTGCTGCTGTTAGGACCATAGGATGAAGGCCAAAGAGAAGAAGAGAAACAGGAAAAGGAACTGAAAGAAGAAGAAAGCAGTGCAGAATCTGTCGATGCCAAAGGAAGCAGTTTTTCACATACATGTTTCTGTTTATTTGTCTTTACCTTCTCTTCCAGCTCTTTAATCTGTCGTTTCTGTGCTTCTATAAATTCTTCCAGCTCCTTGTTCCTCTGACAAACACAACATCATTGATTACAGACTACAAAGGAGAAATCACAATAGTGTACCTGTGCTCATTTCAGTGGTTTACCTGTTGGGTGAGGTGCAGTAGTTCCATCCGCTCTCGAAGGATTTGGGCATCTCTCTCTCTGAGCTCACACATCACAGTTCGTTTCCACTGGTCCATGGCTCTCCTCAGCTCCTCTCGCTCTCCCTCTGTCAGACTCTCAGACAGTCGACCCTCCATCTTTAATCCCTCTATCCTGGATTCCTCTTCCTGCTGCAGAGCCTCAAACAACATGGCCTCCAGCTCCAGGATCCTCTGGATCAAAGAAACATTTTAGTGCTGTCATTGTTGTTGGTCAATGATGTCTTGATGCATGCTCAATCATCCAGCTAAGGAAATCCCAAAATGTTGATCCTGTTCATTTGGATGTTTTCAGTGGGAGAAACGTTTTGTGCAGGTTTCCCCAACTTTATAAACAGGACATTTGCACAATGACTGAAACAAGCACCACTGAATGAACAATGGGCCGTGAAGTCATTAATATGCAGATTGTCATGGCCATAGATTGACAACCATTGATCAAAGCCCACTGATCAACGGGCCAATGATATCAGAGCAGGCTCAAAGACTTGCTCTCAGTTATTTGGTTGACCTCTCCACAGTACAGGTTCAGCTATTCACTGACCTTATGGGCCTGATCCATCGACTGCTTCCTGTAGTCCAGCTCTTCATCCAAGTAACCTTTCTGCTTACTGAACAGCTCCTAGAAAACAACAGCATCTTCACTGACACCACATTTATTTACCCCAGACAACAACTTCCCAACATGGATACTGCTACTTTACAAACCGCTAAGGTCTGTACAAACAGACTCCGACATATGAAAGAGTTAAAACTAAAAGCTTCCTGTCCAGCTTGCGATCACCACGCT